TGACATAACAGATTGGGACATGTTTAAGGACTCTTGTAGTGACATTGATGAATTAACTGATGTTATTAGTAGCTAATGACACAGTGGCACAGATGGTAGCACTGTTGCCTTGCAGCAAGAAAGACCTGGGTTCGATTCCTGGCCTGGGGTCTTTCTTTACAGAATTAGGTTTTTCTCTGGGTTGTCCAGCTTCCTTCCACAGTCCAAAAACTGGTGTCCTGTCTGTCTCTGTGTTGCCCTGCAACAGACTGGCGACCTCTCCAGGCCAGTGTTGTATAGTAATGAAGTAAAAATACTTCACTACTTTACTTAAGTACATTTTGGAGTACTTCATACTTTCCTCAAGTATGAAAATTCTTGAAAACTTTCACTTTTACTTCACTACATTTCTGAACTTAATTTCATACTTTTACTCCGATACATTTTCAATGTGTGGTTTAGTTACTCGTTACAAAAAAGCGAGAGAGAAATGCAAATGTTTTGATCAACCTACTGACTGACTGAAACAAAGCCTGCTTGCCTGGGCTTGTTCATCACCACCAATAGGATGCACAGGTTTCACCTCCCCACCAGCAAACAGTCTGATTGGTCAGTGCTCCGTTTGTGTAGGTTTGTGCCGTTAAATTTTTCGTTTGTGCAGCTTTGGTTTCCGAGATATTAAAATGATTTTTTAGGTCATCCAGAGTTACCCCCCCACCCCATTTTGCTCCAAAACAAACCAAAGTGGGCTGGTTCGTTAGTGCTCCGTTTGTGCAGGTTTGTGCCGTTAAAACAAACGCAGCAAAGTTGTTTTCAATTTGGATTTTGGCTGTTCCAATATCCGGTGTGAGAGGCGTCTAGCTCGAGGTTGATCCGATTCATGAACGCTATTTTCGGCCAGCCGGTCTCTGATCTCCTCCTTCCTCAAGGTGTCGGAGTTTCACTCAGGGAGAGTCAACAAATTTTACATCCAAACTCCCCTGAGAAACTAATGGAAATAGATTTCTTGCCTTGTGACCAACTGACAAGAAAATTCATGCTATTACATGAGACACACTGTTCTCTAGCGAATTTTTAGTCATACTCAATATTTTCAGTAATTGTAATCTTAAAAAGTATATATTTTGGATGGCCTAAAAAATCATTTTTAATATCTCGGAAGCCAAAGCTGCACAAACAAACATTTTAACGGCACAAACGGAGCACAAACCAATCAGACTATTTGCTGGATTATTTGAGTAGGTGGGGTGTCAGCTTCATGGAGGTCTGTTTCGCTTCTCCCATTAAACACCAAGTTAACTAAAAGCTCTCCCTCTTCAGATGTCAATAAGCTGCATTTCCCTCCCAATTCTTTTTTTCTTTTGCATAATGACCAGTTGTGTTCACCTATAGTTTCTGAAGTAGAGGAATTTACTTCATGTTGGCCGCATTTTGGCCACTATTTATTTTTCTCATTTTCAGCACTGACCTTACTGAAAGGAAAAACTTGAGGCTTATAGAAACTTTGTATTTTCTGTTTGGAGGGTTTACCAAGAAGCTGGTTCAGTTGTAAAGCAGGTTAAGTTAACCTAAAGCAGGTTAAGTTAACCTTGTGGTTTAAGTAAAGCACCTAATGTTCTTAACTAAATGATGCTGCAGGTTTATCTATTAGCAGGTTTAATTTTGCCTGCACTTGGTTGTGTACATTATTTTAAGTGTATTTAACAAGTTTACCAAAATATAAAAAATGTCATTCAAACTGCATTTGCCTGGTTTTACTTTTTACTTGAAATTTTCATTACATTACTTGAGTACATCCATTTTTACAGTAATTTCCATACTTAAGTACAAGACATTTCAAATACTTTAATACTTTAACTCAAGTAACATTTCAGTCAGTGACTTTGACTTTTACCAAAGTCATATTTTGGAGCGGTACCGATACTTTAACTTGACTCCAAGATTTCAGTACTTTCTACAACACTGATCCAGGGTGACCCCACCTCTTGCCCAAAACATTAGCTGGAAAATATGTGAAAATATTTTCTATTTCAATGTCAAAATTATAGAAAAATTTCATGAACAAAAAGAGGAAAGCATTCAGTGAAGAAAATGAGGTTTTAATTCTGATAACCAATTGGCAAATGAGTTTAATATGTTTCATCTCAGGTTTGGTGCTTTATCACTGAACAGTAATTTAATATTTTTTTTAAGGTAATCAATGTCATACCAGCCTCAATACAACCACAAACTTTTGTTTACTCAATAATTATCATTAAATGTCATTTCAAAATGAACTAGAATATATTTTCAACCTTTCTGGAGTTCGGCTTTAGATACCAAAGATGGACAGAAACTCTTTTGGTTCCGACCACAATGTGAAATAAATGGCTGTAAAAAGTTGTTGGTGAAAAAGAAAATAAGAAAAGCTTCCTAAAGTATTCCATGTTTCATTAATTTGATAGGCAACATTTGTTTTTACATCTAAAACTCAGATTGTTGTGAGCCAAAAGTTCTAAGAAAAGAAAATGTGAAATAAAAAATATACCATAAAATAAATGACATGGCAAAAAAAAAAAAAAAAAAAAAAAAAAGATTTTGCTTCAAGGCTTCATGAAAATCCTAATCCTAAAAAAATGTGGATTTTCTGACTATTTTTTGATGGTCAGGCTTGCCATCAGTTATCAGTTATGAAATAATACTGTTGGAAAGTAACATAATATCTAAACATTTACATGTTACTTGATGCGGATCTGTTTAGCCAAGTCTTTATGTGAACATGTTTATGTACAGAAAGGAGTTTGAACCAAAACCCCTCAGTGAACCCATCCAGGTTCCCGAACTGCTGGGTCCAGATCTATCCTCAGATGTTTTGTAGAACCGACCCGACCATGATTCCTTCAGAACTACCAGTGCCATCATTGAGGCCTTCTGAGGTCTTGTTCAGTCTAGTAAGTCTAGTTCAGGTCCTGGAGATTTAACAGTCGATGATCCATCATCAGGTGGTTGCTGGTTCTGATTCAGACCTGTCTGGATCTCATGTTTAATAATTTAATCACAGTTTTGGTTCTGTGACAGGTTCAAAGGTCAACCTGTTAGGTGTTGGGAACTGGGGTTTTGGCCTTTCTATGGAGATGTTTTTGTTGCTGCATTCCTTCAGTCAGCCAGGATGATGCCTGCCTGGAGGGCAGTGCTGGCATCTGAATTCTACACACCTGCAGTCAGTACTTCTTCATCAGTGTGGAGTGGAAGAGGAGCGGTTATGGTACTCTGAGTCTTGTTCTCTGATTTCTAGTTTTCACTGCTATAATTTCTACTTGTTGATCTCCACACAGGTTTTCCTTCGTGGCTTTGTGTTGCCAGAGAACCTAACCTCCATAATCTCAAGCTCTTCTGAAAATTCTTCTGGATCTTCATTCCACTGCTGGTGATGAACCAGTGTCTATTTGAGTCTCTGGTTGTATTTTGCCCTCCAATGCAAGCCTCCAACATCCACACTGCTCTATCCTACAACCAGACCCAGATTAAGACTCCTCCAACCCCAGTAAGTAACCAAACCCCAGTGACCACTTGTGTAATTCATCTTTACCAGTAAGACAAACCTCACCTTCACAATATGTACTTGCTGTTAAGTTCATTCCTCACCTCTGACCCTAACACTATCCCTTACCTCTCAGGGTAAAAGTGGGTTAGGGCACTGTCTTGTGGAGCAAGACAGTGCATTAACATTAGCACAAACATTAGCATTTCACTGCCCCCAACTAGTACAACGCCATTATCATTTTCTCTTGGGTTAGGCCTCTGCCTTGAGCATTAGCCTTTTACCTTACATAAGGTATTAGCAATTTCTCTTACTTATTGGCCATGTTTAGTATACTGAATGGAGTAAGTCAATTACAGACAACATTCTAGTGATGCCCCACATGCTACTGAGAGTATTCACGTTAACATTAACATTTTTGGCTAATTTTAGCTTATACAGTCAATTTAACATACTGAATGGTGCAAGTCCATGTTCTTGAGCATTCTTGTGATTCTTCACAAGATACTTTGTAATTTTTTTAATCAAGCGTAGCATTGATGCAAATTTTGAGCATCAGAATGCTGGGTGCAAACCAACGGGCACACTTTGGCAGGCCCTGGTTAAATTTCTTCAGAAATTTTCTAGTTGGGGCCTTCCTTCTCATAGCAATGCATAAGGAGAGCAGTGACTGACTTGCAGTGACTAACTCTATCCCTTACCTGTAAAGGTAAAAGTGGGTTAGGGCACTGTCTTGACCATTAACATTAGCACAACATTAGCATTTCATTGCCCCCCACTAGTGCATCACCATAGGCGGTGCAATGAGATTAGCCTGCATTATCTTTTTCCCTCAGGTTAGGGCATTAGCATTAGCTTTTTACGTTAAATAAGGTATTGGCTATTTCCCCTTCTTATTAGTCATGTTTAGTATACTTAATGAAGTAAGTCAATTACAGACAACATGCTAGTAACGCCCCATGATACTGACAGTATTCATGCTAACATTATAATTTGGCTAAGTTTAATATATTCACTAATTTTAACATACTGAATGGTTCAAGTCCATTTTAGTCAACATCCTTGTGACTCTCCACATGATACATTGTAACTTTTTAGCCAAGCTTAGCTTTGATGCACATTTTTAGCATCATAACACTGGGTCTAAACTAAACCTATTGTTCTTCACCCGATGGAACGCCTCTATTATTCTTGGGGTCTGCCCATAGCAATGCTACACAAGTCAGTCACTGCCCTCCTTATGCATTATAGCTTCTTCTTCCATGACCGATAATGCAGCTCGTACCGCTGCATGCCCACCCACAAAAGTGGTAACATAATGTGCTGCAAGGTGCCGGCATTGGAGCTGTTACTTGTGGTGGGATTCATTTACCATGCCGACAAAAAAACGGAAAATGATCAAAAAATTTTGTCAGTTACAAACTGCCAAAACTAGAGTGTAACTGACGTTTCGTTAGAGTGTGGGAAGGACTGCGATTTTAACCCCAAATAAATTTTAGGGTTAGGGTTACTCTTTATGGATTTTTTCCCCTCAGAAATGTGTATGTTCACAACAACATCTGAGCATCAGTTACACATCAATGGCAAGAAAAAGCCTCATCCCAATATGACAGGCTACATTGCACCATTTATAAGGCTGTACATATGTATGTTCTCAGGAAAATATACAACTTAATGGCTTCATCGTGAATGGTGCGAGTAAAACGTTTTTAGACGTTAAATGGCAACACAAGCTGAATACTGTTTCATCGTAAGGATAAAGTTCTCTTTGTTGACATTCCTCTTTACAAGCCTTTACTGTCTCTTGGGAGACCTCCACCGGGTGTTCTTCTTCATCAAACAGATGTGGAATGGTGTACATAAGAATCGGACGTTCACTTGTAGCCACTGCATTTCTGATGTGTCGGATGATGACAGTACTTGATAGAAAGTTCTGATGTCATTCAATCAATTGATTTTAAAAATACACTTTCTCAAACAAGGATTTTTCTCAGTACCTATAGGTTAATATTAGGAAAAACACTGCACTTTTGGTCTGTCAGGATATATCTTGACAAAGTCCCCAACTTCTATTAATAAAATGTATGATACTCTTCAATATCACAATATGAGTCAAACATTTTATTTGAAGGATCTGTGGGCAACTGTAATCTGTAACTTAAAGGATGATGACTGGACTGATGCCTGGAGAAATCTTGTAAGTGTTTGCAATAGAGTGAAAGCAATTCAATTCATGATTCTTTACAGAGCACAAATTTTGCCTCATCAAAAGGCAAAAATTCTAGCCTAAATTGTCTTCAAAGTGTTAAAAAAATTCCTTGGGATTTTGTAGAGATACGTTTTCTCCAAAATTCATATATAAAGTCATATAATGAAATTTTTTATTTCACTCAAACATCTATACTTATATGAAGTAAAATTAGAGAAAATTATCATTTTAAGTGGTCTCTTAATTTTTTCCAGCGCTTCAAAATGTGTGCTATGTGGACCGGGTCAAACTTTGCCAAATTCTGCCTGGAAATGTGTAATTACACAAATAGATTGGAGATAATCAGACAGCAATGGCCATGTGCCAATTACCTTCTTCATTCACTTTTGTGATACATTGCTCCCAGAGGTAAGGCACAGCACTGCCTCACCCCAATCTTCTTTTATGTATTTCAACAGGCAATACTTAAATTCAGCAATTTTGACCATAAAAATGTTGAAATTGCCAATAAGAAAAGCAATTTATAGAAAGATCAGGTGGATCAATCGATTTTCTTTCATCATTGCTTCCCATTACTACTACTCGTTACTACTTTTTACTCACGGCCTTATTTTTATTTCGCCTGCCTCCCCTGACTACACATTATTGCAAACAACCATGAAAATGCATAAGATCTCTGTACCAAAGACCTCTGACAGACAAAAGGCATTTACTCTGCCAATAAGTAAATAAGTAAACTCATAACACTGTTGAGTACACTAAACCAGGAAGCGGATACTAAGATTAGGTTTAAGATACACACCAAACACTCTCTAAAGTAACAAGACAAATAAGTTTCCCCAATAGAATATATTAACATTACAGCCTTATTCTTACAAGAGTTGTTCTTAACATATGCACTTTTATGAGTTTTTCTGGTTTTGGGAATTGAATTGCTGACTGGAATAAACACAAGGAAAAAGGAGAAAATCCAAATCTTCTGTGCTGGCTTCAGGTAAGAGGCTGCTTTAGTTATTTTTTCATTCCTGTTAGCTCCCCTCAGAATGACAGAAGAGTCAGAAAGGTCTAATGATGATGTGGGTGAGGGTATTGGCTTTGTTAGCCCCTGGACTCTAGAGATCTGAAGAAAAGGAGACACAAAGGGAAGAAAATATCAGTTGTACACTTTTTTAAGCACAAGCTTTTCACCACCAACAACTGATGAGAGCTGTGCTGTTATGCTGTGTTTAGCAGTAGTGCATGCAGCTTGTAAGGCTGTACATACCTTAAGATTTCCTTTCAGTAAAAAGAAAAAAATATTATAGTTATTTTTTTTATTTACCTCATTTCTATTAACAAAATTGTGGAAAAAACATCAAAACATCCTGCTGTAACCAACAGCTTTTTTGGTCAGTTTGCTTTCATTTATTCAGTGGCTTGGTGCTCTTTCTGTAAGGTAAATGTGATTTTGTATTTTGTTTTAAGGGTCTTTCTTGTTTTGTTGGATTGAATGTCAGTTTTACATGTGAAAAACACATAAAACTGTGCTTTTCACACAGTTCTATGATTTACACTGTCTATTGTTCTTTTGATAGCTTAAAGAACAATAGACAGTCCTTTGAGCTGCCTATTATTGGGTGAAGGACTGTGTTAAAGTCTCCCCGTATAATTGTGACTCATGCGAAAACATTCTGTAATGTAAAAAAAATTGCGGCAGGGCCAGGCAATCCTGGTCATCAAGGGCCAGTGTCCTGCAACGCTTGGATGTGTCCCTGGTTCAACACACTTAAATCCAATAGCTGAGTCACCTCCTAAATCCAGTCAAGTTCTCCAGAGTCCTGCTAATGACCTCATTATTTGACTCAGGTTTGTTGAAGTAGAGATACATCTAAAGTTGCAGGAGCCCTCGAGGCCTGGAGTTGCCACCCCTTATGTAGGGTCATCCATGTTCAGACCATAAATACTTGTGATTGTTACATTAATATTATTGATTGTTTCATTAATAGGAATAAATTGTCCCTCTGAGACTGTTACGATGTATTTATGGAAAGAGTGTGTCTTTATTAATGAGAATTGAAACACCTTGTTATTTGGAATTATATGACAAAAAGTAGACTTGATTGAAATGCTGCATTTTTAATTTTCTATGTTCATTGTCTGATCGATTGGTTTCTTGTAGTAAACATACAATATTTTGAGATAATTGGTGATTTCAGTTCTTTTTGCTGATGAGTTAATGCCATTGCAGCTGAAAAACTTTAATTTAGTCATTTGATTTATTTATGTAATTTGTACATTTTGGAACTGCACAATTTTGCTGAGAAGTTAAATCTTCTTAAATAAGACAGGGAAGACAAATCAAACAAAATAAAGAAAAAAAAATAACAGCAACAACAAAATAAATTGGCTGAAATATACAAACAAAAAATATTGTGTACACAAAAAATTAGGAGCCAAGTATCACTTTTCCTAACCTTGTACCTAGCATCTCCCTCCAACACACATCAGTGATCTTTGATTGCAGTTATAAATTTTATATCATTTCAAGTTTGTTGTCAAAATCATATCAATAATCTATTCAGCTTCTCTAATTCAGCACCAGAACCACATTAATGCAAATATTTTGCACTAAGTCTTATTCAATTATTCAAAGTATTAAGACTTCATTCTTTAAAACTTTCTGAAGGCTGGAAACGTACTTCCTCTTTTTTCAGGAAACCTGCTGTTCCTTTTCTCTGGCTTAGCAGCACTCTCTTTCTGCCTATGATTATAACTGATTTCTTGTGATTAAATACAAAAAGTAATAGAATTAAAGAAAAATTAGCATGACACAAAACACAAAAACACAACCCCATTAATCTTACTGAAGTTCAATTTTACTGTTAGATCGAGATGTTACTTTATATGATTCATTTTACAGGTAATTTCATGTGTTGTTACTTCTAAACCAAAATGTCCAGCATAGGGAAATGGGTTGATTTCAAGTAACTTCGACATTCCCTCCTCCCCTTCCTCGAAACTTGCATATTTTATCAGATTTTTTTTAATCAAAATCACAAAACTCAACTTAGCATAACAAGCATTACAAGTCTGCTGCTTTTGGGTACACTCTTTAAACATATAATGACATACCCCATTGTACATAGAACAACCTTTCCCCAGGATTTTTTTATACTTTCACTCAATTTTAAACTATATTCCATTAAATGACTTTTGATACAATGTTGCATACTACATTAAATATAATAAACATTTCTCAAAATACTTGTGAAACATAGACAAAAAGGGAGTCTTACAAGTAGCTGTTGTGCTGCTGTCGTCTCCGGGCGCTCCTCATCTTCTCAAAACGAGCTTCCATTTCCTCTAGAACCTTAGGAGTGTAGCGGACCACCAACTTAACTGAGCCCTGGGCAGCCTTCAGTAGCTCCACAGCCTTTTCATGTTGTTCCACCTCTACACTCTGCACAGATACCACACCTCTGTCAGTTCTGGTAAACACCCCAAAACTGACAGCAGTGTAATTTTTGGATCAGCCATTGTGGTTGCGCATTCATCACGATAACAGGTCATTGTGGTGAATGCGCCACATTCACCACAATGAAGGTATATACTTCAGCCTGGTTGTGTACTGACCAAACAGTCCACTGTCTGGGTAGCTTCATAGAAATCTTACCACTCCATTGACAGAAAGCAGCTGGTCTCCCCTCTTCAGTCCTCCTTGGCGATCAGCCACTCCTCCAGGGATAACTCTGGAGATATAGATAGGGGAGTTCTGTTCTTTCCCACCCATGATGTTAAAGCCCAGGCCCTCTTCCGTTTTGGGCAACTCCACCACCCTTGGGTGAGCATGACCCTCACTGGCTGCAAAGGCTGCTACTGTGGCCTGAAAAAAGCAAGAAATGACATATGTTAAATTGGGAAAAAAAAAAATATATATCTATATATATATATATGTACTCAATATCTATATCTATATCTCTATATAGATATAGATAGATATAGTGGGTATTGGGTCTCATGGTTGCTCTTATAGCCAAGCGTCTCAAGGATCACTGATGCTGACTTGTAGATCAGCTCATTGGTTTCTGTTATGGTGTTGGTAGGGATCGTTCTCAATGCTGCATTCACATTCTCAATGAGACTTTCTGATGGTACTTCACTCAGCCGTTGTAATTGGTGCCGAGGAGGTCTGGTTGTCATTCGGGTCATGATTCTCTCTCTCAGGTCAGCAGCTGTCTCGTTCAGCTCTGTTTCGCTCATTGGGGCCGTGTATCCCCTCACTGGGTGGGGACTTGTAGTTAAGTCCCCACAGTTCTGACATCCGGGTTCCTCCCTTTTGCCGTAGCATTTGTGTTGTATCTCGTCAATCTCAAGTTGTAATAGTAGTTGCCGTTTGCGGATGTTGGAACACTGAGCTACTAGTTGTTTAGCGCTTAGTGTTGACTGGGGATGTCGAAGTGACCATTCCTTCCCCAGTCTTTGCATGTAACCTCTCTCACTAGGGTTACTTGAGTAGTAGCATTCCAACAGATCCACATTTTCATCTCTCGCCCATTTCCGTCTTGTTCCAGTAGCCCATTTGTCATCAAGGTGCTCTGGTTCCCCAACACCTGACGCAGACCTTGTTTGGCCGGGCGACGTCTGAGCCGGCATGTTACGCAACTTAGTATCTCTCATGGTATGAGGTAGGCAGTAGCTTGAAGGGTCTTGCCTAAGGACCCAGACTGGATTCGAACCCTGCCCTCTCGGGTGATATACTGATGCCTTATGTATTGAGCTATCCAGTCAGCTAAGCCTTGGCCAGCCGCCTAAAGAGATACACAAGGGAGAATGAATCCAGAAGGATTAACCGGCTCTTCTCCACTCAACCAGCTAAGGTGTACTCTCAATGGCAGGGTAATAACAACAGAGCAGACCCACCAAGCCTGGAGACTGAACAATACTGGAAAGGTATATGGGAAAGAAATAGTTTTTTATAAGAGCAAAAAGAAAAAATAAATTAGAGGCCCACCAGTAATATGAGCAGCTGTGCAATGTGCAGTGTGCATCCAAACGAAGATAAGTAAGCAAAATAATGTCGCAAAAAAGGACAGAGAAACACAAAATATATAAAGGCCAAAATAAAGATATCTTTTTTCTTCATCTCGATCCATCCACGTATCCATCAATACATCCATCCACTGTCTTCCGCTTACCCGCAGGGGTAACCTGTCTTTATCTTGGTAATGTAATACTTATCAAAAGTATTTGTGGCGCTGCAAAAAGAAAATGAGCTTGATTGTGACTTAATCAAATTATGTTGTGTGTGTATATATTCCAGTAAATCTAGTGCATACTAGTCTTTTTATTGCTTTTACTACCACTGGACTAGATGATATGTAAGATGTCATGTCAGAGATGCAATGAGTTTATAGCAGGTGTACAAAAACCACTGACTATGGCTCTTATAATAAATGAAATTAAATGACTCCACTTAAACTATGAGCACTTCACCTTCTGGGGTCTGACCGCACACCACCTCACAACTTCCTCCTGATCCGCATCTGGAGGATAAATCTGCTCTAGTTTACCAGTCAGTTGGATCTGTCGAATAACAGCCAATTAACATTCATCAGAGGCCAAAGAATGTTATTATAATGACAATTTTACTGCTTTAGTCTACAATTTGATTAGGCAGTGCAACTACTCTTGTTTTCAGATTTTGTCTGTGTTCTAAGAGACAGGATCAGTTGAAACTCGGCTGCAAGCTTTTTACCCCATGGGCGTGTGCTTTGACAAGGATTCATTTTTTTTGTGTGGTTTTGCTTCCCCAAAACCGACCAATATCCAACTGAGACATCTTCTGCGCTCCTCCCAAACGTCAATACCCTGCACAATATTCATAATATAACAATACCCTCGTATTGTTGTCTGCGCCTCGTATTGAACCAATATGGGACCGATTTATTTTGTATTTCGACAAATATCCAATAGACACACATAATATAATGAGTAGAGCCCGCATTGGCTTCTCTAGCGCAGGAAGTTCGGCAGCCATCTTGGAGAGGTAGTCCCTCCTATTGGCTGAACCAAAACAGCAGAAGATGCCTCAGCACTGACGGATATTTTTGTTCAGATCGACAGACTATTGACGTGAGATCTCAGGGGATAAGATTTGACAAGCAAGATAGACATATTACCATTTACAGAATAGAACATTGTATAGTAATAGAATATTATACTGTATTTACGTCCACCAGCAAAATGCCATCTGATATTTGCTATCGTGCTTGGTGTAATACCTGGGAGCAGCCCTCACTATGAAGGCTAAACAAAATTCTGCAAATCTTAAAAAGTTTGAATGATTCCCTAACATTGATTTAGATTATGCGACACAAGGTGACAGACTGTTATTTATATGTAATTTTTTTCACGCTGTCAAAAGTTAGATAGCTCACGTTTTTGTCTTGAAGGTTTCATATAAACACGATACAAGGAAGAAGTGAGAAATGTTTTAAGGAGACACGGATTCACTACACCACACAGATTAAACTCTCCTAAGTTACAACTTCTTGGTTGGAAAACACAAATAAAACCTATATTGACATTATGTTGCTATGCATGTGCATATAAAACATATTATTCAGTATTAATCATTATTTCATCATCTTTGTTTCTCTATGATTGTATTATTTTGTCTGTTGGGAATTGGGGTTTTGGCTCTTTGTGGGTATATTTTGTTTGCTTGTCTGTCATCATCTAGGTTGTAAAACTCCAGTCCTCCTCCAGTTTTTAGATGTGCAACAAGTAAAAAACACTGAAATGAAATGCTTAATTACCTCTTTCCTGTGTAGATCAGTTCTCCAGAGCCTTGCTAATGACCTAATTATTCTATTCAGGTGCGGTGCAGCAGAGGCAAATCTAAATGTTGCAGGGCAGGGACCCTCTAGAACTGGAGTTTGACACCTGTGAACTAAATGGTGCCAAGAGGGCAGCACTTACCTTGAGGGCGTGCCTGCTGTATGGATTCAGCGCACATGTGATCAATCACCTTATTATCTAGGAGTATATGAGGAGCAGGCTGCCAACACTTCAGCAGCTGAGTGGCAAGTATTCAGCTACTCAGAGAGGTACTCTGCACCCCTCTGAGATTATTTCTAGAAATCTTTTCCTGTTGCCTCTCTCTCAGGTGTTGTGGCACATTGGATTTTACCCTCTGTGTAGCCCGAGTTCCTGGCTTTCTGGTGATGCTGTGGATATTACCCACTGGTTGCCTGAGTCCTTCTCTGCCTTTGCTGAAGAATCGTTGGTAGTTCCTGGTTTCATGGCTGACAGTAAGAGCGCTCCTTGCGCTCTCCTTTCAAGAACTTACCTGTCCACCCTCCTGGCCTTTTCCATCAACATCCAAAGAACTCTCTTAAGATTACACTGGAACCTTGATCATCTCAAGAACACCCTGCAAAGAGATCACAGTCCTTCTCCCTTGATGAACCCACCACTTCATCAAGTAAGGTCATTCCATTTCCTGAACATTCAACCTGTCCATCTTTCCATCAACTCACCATCTCTCTCCCACTATCCTCAGAGTTCTGATGACCCCAGCTTCGTCAGAATGATAAAATTATTTTAACATAATTTCATCATGTTAAAATTGTTGCGTTCCGGGGTTCTTTGTTTTCCTTGCTACTCACCATCTAGCCACCAGATAGCGCCAGACTCACCTCTCTCCGGAGCGGTGTGTCATCATCCGGCACACCTGAGATCAATCTGCTCCTCTGGCAAGGAATACAAGAGAAGCTGACTGCCAGTATTTTGGCGGCTGAGTGTTAGCCAGTAATGGTACCTCTGAGCCACCTAGTTGTAGACTGCTGTGAATCCTCAACAAAGGACAGGTAGTATGAATGATATCATTTGGTAGCAAAGATTGAAGTTTGTTTTAAAACGCTGAAACAAATTAATGAGACAATCTAGACCTGTCTGAAGTAGTTTTTTGCTTTTTTTAATGATTCTGTTGAACCACAATTCAAAAGCTATGTCTGATTTTCATCATTTCTGTATATAATCAATAGGGTATTGTGTGGATTTTGTTGACAATACCTTGGCTGTTGCTTGGGCTCGGACCTCTGGACCTCCAGCAATATCCAGTGTGTCATATAGCTGCTCATATACCTAATTAAAAAACCACCGAAAATTTAAAAACAACATGTGAAGGATGCATGAAAAGCGCTTTGTGAAAGCATTCACAAGTTTAACTTTGTACTATAATAGCTGCAGACAAGTGCAGAATTATTAAGTGAAAAGAAGTGAATTCATGGTAGGTATTTTTTCTTTCCAAATTAATTAAAAATAACCTCTTCAGCACTTTGCAGTCAATTAATTAATTCAGTACAGTGATCTCCATACACAGCTGTGCTATATACTAGGTATAAAACACTGCAATTGACCTTAGTAAAAAATCAAATCAAAAAACTCCCTGTTACGCAAACTTCTGTGTAACTCCCTATCACACAGAAGTTTATTTGCGGCAATCTTCATGTTGGGACAGTGGAACTACTTTAAGGGAAAAAAAAGCCTCCAGCAGAGAGTGGCTTGCATTTGTATTCTATGGCAGCAGTATTTTCTGATTTGGTTTAGGACAAATTTGATCCTACAAGAAGAATCCATGGCCGAGGGGGAAGATAAAACATCTGAGGTGTGACACCAAAATTGTGGGTCAAAAGAGGGGGGTAAATCTGTTTAGCTGAGAGAATAGTAGAAGGATGTGGAGATAGATCCTGAGCTGAACTTTTTGAAGTTTATTTGCTCTGTCCAGACTTCCATCTGTCAAATCCTTTCTGCACTTGAAACTTTATTCCAGACCACACTGTTTCTTTGTACTGTAGTTTTCCTTTCTGATTATTGTTGTACTTCTTCTTGCTGTCTCTAATTTTGAGACAACTGCTTCTTCATATTCCTCAATAACTCCCTGTCACACAGAAGTTTATACACAGTCTTACACACACAAGTATTGCATTGAGGTTAACCAAAGTAGCAGGAGGAATGAATACAAACACAAGCCACACTTTTGACATTTTGATTATTTTTTTTAACCTTGCATTCTTCTCTTTTAATAAATTTGTTAAGCCCCCTTCCCCAATGCATTGGAGTTTGAACTCAGACAAAATAAATAAAAACTTTAAGGCCAGACCATATGACAGAAGGGTGAAAACAATGAGGCTACATAGTCCTTGAAATTTGAGCCTATACATTCATCAAGTGTACCTCCCTGATGGCAGCACAGAATTTGCTTTGCAGAACTCTCTGTAGGGCCTGCAGTTTGGGAGGCGGCAACTCCCCGGTTCTCTGCAGCCGATCCAGCAGCTCAATCACCCTGCACACATCTGAAAGAGAAGCCCGGGTTACTGAAAACACATATACAGCTGTTAGTTAAGGTTCACTCAGTAAGATTTCTCTGTTCTTAAAACTCTGAAACTATTTATTATTACAATGTTTGATGGACTCACCTTCATTATATGAATAAAGGGTCAAACAGTTTAGGAAATTATTTTTTTCAGTGTGAAACCTACACATTCTTATGTGCAGTTACAAAAAAAAAAAAAGCCAATAAACCTTTAGAAAAATGATCTAAAGGGAAAAAAGCCAGAACCTTGCTGCAAATGGCTAGCAGGCAGGGATGGACCAAACATAGACATGGAAATAAGTACTGTTTGATCTTTATATTCTTTTAAATTTCTTCCATGTATAACAGCTTTCAGTATGGATTTGCAGACAAAAACTTCTGCTGTTCATTTTTCAGCTACTGAACCTGCAAAATTTATGAATGTGAACTTGCCCCCCACTGTCTCTCCTCTTCTCTTATGCAGTCATTTGCAGAATAAAAATACTTATGCATAGCTATATCTCACTTGCAGCAGAAATAACATTGCTGTTTAGAATGCTTACAGTTAAGTTGATCTATAATAAAATTGTAATTTTGCAGTAAAATTAAATGTTAGAGGAATCATGATGCAACGTGGCCTCGCCATCTGCACAGCATAGCCAATTTCCCCGGTCTCCAATACTAGTGGGGTCAGAGTTTGCACATTGGTAAATGGCCTGGACTTGAAAATGTTTTGTGTTATCACCCGACTGTGTTATGAGCCTACACATACATCAAGTGTACCTCCCAGATGGCAGCACAGAGTTTGCTTTGCAGAAATCTCTGTAGGACCCGCAGATAGTTCCTACAGAGGAACACTTCATGTTATGATCCTTCACAACATGAAGGAGCCATTGTCTTCAGATCTCAAGCAGCCAATACACACAAACATTTTATAGTGTTATTTATTTTAAAAAGATGTATTTTTGATTGAGATGTTACAAGTGGAGCATTTGGCTTCAGAGTGAGCTATAAGGCCAAAAAAGAAGACGAAAAGAAACTATCTGAATATTAACCAACTTACCTAATTGTGAGTAAATAAACCAAATGACAAAAACTCAGAAAAACATGAGAAAACTAAGGAAACATAAATGGCAACTCACTGCTAGAACTCCAAGAACTTTACAAGGTGTTAACAGACAAACAGTGTGGCTGTTTGAAATGAGCTGAGGGTGAATGGCAGGAAGTCTGTGACAGCCGCTTCTATAGCCATGACCTCTGGGCAGGGCCGGTCCAAACCTCTATGGGGCCCTAAGCAAAATTTGGTTTTGGGGACCTCTAGTTCTGCTAACAATGTGGACTGGCTGCAATCAGCAGCCCAATCATTAGATTACTGATATAATCTTATTGCATTTTTGGCACTGCTGTTTACATTATTTCCATGTATAATAAGATACATTTGTTGGCCACCTGGTTTATCTACCAGTTGATTTCTGGGCGCCGATTTCCTTAATTTTGGGAGATTGTGATCTGCTAATACTTACATGAGAAGCCCATCTTGTCCCCTAATCTTATCTTTGACAGCAAAGGTTTAAAAGTCAGTCTCTGTTCTCTGGTGCTCTACAGTTTGCAGTTAACATTATTTACCTCACTGTTGCCAACTCACCTTTCTTGCTATATTTAGCAACATTTCAGACAAAACAATTCACATCAGTCAAACGAAAAGTCGGCATGTCAAGCTTTTTAAAGATCGGTAACCAGGGATCAGCTGGAAAACTTCAATCAGTGCAGCCCTACACACATATTTATGACATTCTTTGATTAAATAAATGTCTCTTAAGCATTACTCCAATAGCAAAAGTTTTAAATTATACCAGGTGAGTCTTTCTCCCCTCAGAATAGGGACTGGTACTGGACTGATTCTGAGCCTTCAAAAGACTTGAACAGATTTTAACATAAAGAAGTGGATGTAATGTTTGCTTTAGCCACAAAATGATTATGGTCAGCAGCAAGCAACAAATCCCCAAATACAGTAGTTAGCAGCCATGTAGCCTGACTATGTAGCCTGCTGTACATTGAGAATGACAAGTTTTAATTATTGTCATCAAATACGGTGGTTTGAACCAAAAATACCTCAGAAATATACAGAGCCAACCATGAGAATCAACTCATTTAAAGTTTAAAATCAGTTTCACACAACTGTATAAGTATAGTTCAGTAGGGCCCACACCTTGGCTCAAGCCCAGGGCTCCACACCCTCCTAAATCCGGCCCTGGCCGTGAATGTTTTAATGCTGCACACTAGTTTGAGCAAGTAGCTCAAAGTCTCAACATGTATTGTTGTGCATATAAGGAGTAAAGTTTAACTCAGAGTAAATGCCCTGCAAAGGAATTGCAGCACTCCCATTTTGTAAATATTACTGCCAGCCCCCTCTGTCGTCCCTTGAACGTCCCTCCCTTCTCCCCCCATTGAGAAATGCTACTCTAAATAAATTCACACAGTAATAATAATATAATGTCAAAAGACCAACACTGTGGATACTGTGTTCTAATTTCTAATGTTTTAAAAGAATGTGCTGTGTCCAAATAAACTTTAGTGATGTATTAAAAAAACCCTAATCTGTACTGAGGTATTATTTTTGTTCTGCCAACAGCTCAAAATGCTAAGCAGGTTGGCCAAGTTCAGCTAAGTCATTTTAGGTTGCATAGTCATATGAAAAAGTTTTGGCACCCCTATTAATCCTAATAGGGGTGCCAAAACTATTAAGATGTTGTATCCTATTAAGGGGTGTTTGTATCCTAAACAACTATGTTGCCCAATCTTTGTTTACAAAGATTGGGCAACATAGTTGTTTAGGATACAAAAAGTTGTCTGAGATTTTAACCGTCAGTTTCCACTCGGAGGAACATAGTGAAGGACATGGACGATCACAAGGACAGTTCTTGTTAAGCCCAGAAGAATATCAGAGAGGGAGAGAAGAAGAATGATGAGAACTGTCAAGGACAACCCACAAATCACCTCCAGAGACCTGCAGCATCATCTTGCTGCATATGGTGTCACTGTGCATCGTTCAACCATTCAGCACACATTGCACAAGGAGAAGCTGTCGGGGAGAGTGATGCGACAGAAGCTTTTTCTGCAAGCGCGCCACAGTGTCGCTTGAAGTCTGCAAAAGCATCTTTGAACAAGCCAGCTTCATTTTGGAATAAGGTCCTGTGGACTGATGAAACAAAGATTGAGTTGGTTGGTCATAAAAAAAGGCGTTATGCATGGCGGCAAAAAAACACAGCATTCCAAGAAAAACACTTGCTACCTACTGTAAAATTTGGTGGAGGTTCCATCATGCTTTGGGGCTGTGTGGCCAACGCCAGCATCAGGAATTTTGTTAAAGTTGAGGGTCGCATGGATTCCACTCAATATCAACAGATTCTTGAGACTAATGTTCAAGAATCAGTTACGAAGTTGAAGCTACGCTGGGGATGGATATTTCAGCAAGACAATGATCCAAACACCCTAAGAATCTACCTAAGCATTCATGCAGAAGAACAATTGCAAAGTTCTGGAATGGCCATCCCAAACCCCAGACCTGAATATCATCTGTGGGATGATTTGAAGCGGGCTGTCCATGCTCGGCGACTGTTAAAACTTGACTGAACTGGAATTGTTTTGCAAAGAGGAATGGTCAAAAATCCCTTCATCCAGGATCCAGGATCTCATTAGAAGCTACAGGAAGCGACTACAGGCTGTTATTTTTGCAAAAGGAGGATCTACTAAATATTGAAATCACTTTTCTGTTGAGGTGCCCATATTTTTGCACATATCAAATTTAGTTTTAATGCGTACTGCACATTTTCTTTTAGTCCAATAAAGCTCATTTCAATACTGAAATATTACTGTGTCCATAGTTTATTGGTTATATCAAACTGAAATAGCTGTTGCAAAGTTGAGAAAAGGAGGCAAAGAAAACACAAAAAGTTAGTTTTTAGCTGGACATCCACAAAGCCAGTCTTTTCTTGTACACTTAACTTGTTGCGTGTACCCTTCTGTCTCGTAGTTTGAAGCAAACCTTTCAGCTCCGGTGTTGGTCTTCCTTTAGTTATTTCTTGCTCTGATTCAAAATCCACTTTCGAAAACTGTGTAAGAGTAGAAATGTAGTCATCCGTGTTGACGGAGCGTTCTTCTTCTTCTACTTTTTTTTATTGAAATACAGAATAACAATGACAAACTCAAACAACACGGCAATAATGAACATTAGAAGAAAGAAATAAGATCCCAACTCCTATTAACAACTCTAACAGAAAATAAAGGCTAGAACAAGAGATACAAAATTACAAAACAGAAAAAAACAAAATAAGTTAAAAAAAGATAAATAAATAAATGTAAGTTATTGAGAAGAGGGGCGAACTGAAATTCTTCCACTAAATCACAATTTATTTGCTTTTAAGGTATTTTTCAGACATCTGTTAAAGGAGGAAAGTTTGTTTTTGAGAGCAGAGATTGAGAGGGAGCATTTTGCATAACGGCATTTATGGATATAATATTTGGTTATAATCATCAAAACATTAACTAAAAATTCTACTTTTTTTTCTTTGATATATAAACCAACTGAATTATTTGTAAGGAATTAAAGCTCACATTTATAGATCTAGAGGATAAAAAGTTACAAAGTTGATCCCATAGTTTCTTACTTCTTTACATTCATGAAACAAATGAATTGTAGAAAAACCACAATTTAAACTGAACTGAATTTAAATCTCTCTCTTAAGTTCTCATTTGAAGGATATATGTCATTTATTATTTTAAATTGTAATTCTTTATATTTAGGAGGAATTGGGAATTTCAAATAATTAGTCCTAATTTTGGTTATCAAAGATTTGTTAAAATGCTGTAGGAGAAATGTACGCTTTGTTCGACCAGGGTACATATCATGTATATGTGAGAGACATCAAATTTATTAGTTGATAAGGTACCCCACCAATTCTGTTTTGTTTATAAGTTAATTCATTGTTCACTGTAGTTTAT